ATAATCTTAACGTTAACCGATACAGATCTAGTATTTTCAAAATCGTCGTCCATGGGATTCGAACTCTAGACCTGCCGTCTGGGGGTGCGACAACTCCACCACTTCACTAAGTTGCCATACCTCAAAGTAGCAAAATATTTAAGCACTAGTGAAACACATTTAGTTACAATTATCCAAAATGTAATACAGTATTACGATTGGGCTCAATATAAGAATACGAGAAATCAAAATTTAGAAAAAGAAGAGGAAATTTTGATAGAAAGATTGGGCAACTCTTTTATGAAAATAGATTGTACAAACCACTATCCACAAAATAGCACTAATCACAAAAACAATCTAAAAATAACAGATTTTACAATTACTCAATTAGAGTTCTTAGATAATAAAGAAAATAATAATACAAAATCACAGATAAAAAGTGATAGAAAGACTAAGTTAATCCAAGCTCCAATTGACAAAACTAAAGACAATATAAGCTCTAATATTTTAGAAAATACTGATACTAAGCTATTACCAATAGAAATCTCTCCTATACAAAGCGAGGAATCAACAAACCAAAGATAGAAATCAAAGATTCTAAGCCACAATACAAAAGGAGCTTTGCAGACAAAGAAGACTTTTCTAATCACTCAGAAACCAAGACAGACATAAACAAAAATATTTTAATTAGAAATAAATGTAGCACTCTAGATTATGGCTTAAAGAAAAAAAGAAAAAACAGCCTACAAAAAATCCCAGGAAAAAAAACAAAGTAAAGCTACAAAAAACCAAAACAATATAAAAATATATACAACTCTATATGGGCTTCAAAAAGCAGTTTAACAAACCCAAAGAATACATATACACCACACTACTACTTCACTCTCTGGGATTTATCTCTAGACTTAAAAGCAGAGAAAATAAAGAACTACTTTAGCTACTATGATACAGCAGCAATAATCAACTGGCAATACTCATTCAATTTGAAAGCAGCTTATATTAGAATCTCTTCAAGTATAGAAACAAGAGACAATCTCCTTAAACTCTACTAATCAGTCTCACTTGGCCAAGGCAAAATATATCGAACTATACCAGGAATGTTTGACATTAAAGAGCTCAAAGAAAGAAATAGATATAAAGCTACAATTCACAATGTGCCAAACTTAGCACTAGATAGCCTTCTACTTTGACAACTAAAAACTTATAATGTCCAAACAGTTTATATTCTAACTAATTGCAATGGAAACTGTTAAAAAAGAGCACAACTATACTTCAAAACAGAAGAGGACTTAACACAAGCCTTTAACTCAGAAATATATTACTTTAATATGAAACTATAGTGGCAATATACATGACTAGTTAGAAGTACCAGAAAACCCCAAACCTATCTACCAAGCCCAAAAAATAAAAACAATACCCAAAATAACAAAGAAAAGCAATAAGCTGCTAAAACCAAATCATATAAAAACCAAAGCCTCTCTCGAAAACCAAGATATAACAAGCATTTTTTCAGGATAAAAGTTCACCACAACTCTAATAAAGAAAATGAATTAATTAAAAAAAAGCAAAGCCTGTTTAAAGAAAAGCTCAAGAAGAAAAGAGTATTGCTGGCTCTTCCTAGTGCCTGGACCCAAATCTAGACAAAGACCTGTGGAATCTTTTGAATAAAATGAAAACCAAATTTGTAGAGATAGAGCAACAAATTGCTTAATGCTTCTAAGTTTAGCCACAGTTGAATTACAGATAAAAGGGTTGGAAGATACCCTAAAGAATAATGAACACTATCAGAAAAAAGAAAAAACAACAATAGATGAAAATTTCAAATACTTAAAAATAGATTTTTATAATATTAATAGTCTGAAGAGAAATGAGATGAAACTCCAGAATCTAATTGACTTCAGGGTTAAAGAAAATTTGAATATTATAGAGATAACTGAAATGAATATTAGTAAAAGAGAGACAAATTTTATAAAAGTAAACTGGAAACAATATAGAGTATTCTGAACAAAGGATGTAATAGATAAAAGAAAAGGTTTAGGAGTAGGAGTTTTAATTAAAAAAAAATAACAAACACACCTAACTGAAGTAGTATCAAAGAACACTTATACACTCAAAATAGTACTTAGATTTAAGAAATTAGTACTAGTACTATAAGTAGTATATTTCTCTCCAAATAATAAGCAAATACAAAAAACACTACAACAAAGCTTAATAAAAGATATTACTAGAAGTAGCTATAATACCAAAATTTTAATTAGAGAGGACTTCAATGCAACAGTAAAACTAGAAGCTGTACCAAATTAAGCAACCACACTAGCACCTAAAGACAAAACAGGCAACAAACTTTTTCTCTTAAAATGGTTCCAAAGAGTAAAATTTGCTAAAGCTTACTTTCTAATAAACCCATATACATACAAGACAACATAGTCTAATAGCAAATATAGTTTAAAAATAGACCACATATAGTTAGACCCAGAAATTAAAGATCTAGCAATTGATAGTGACATAGAAGATATAGATTTAGTTACAAATAGTAATCACAATCTAATATAGATAAAAATATTACTAAGCTCTATACTTCACTTAAAGTCACATAGTAAACAATGAAGAGATTATTTAAGCTATCAAAAAATCTACCTATATGAGAAAATATCAGAGAAGATATGGGAAGATTTCACAGTATTGCTAGAAAAGTACATTGAGAAGGAACAAGAAAAAGCTAAAAAGAAAAATAAAAAAATACATACTTTGGCAAATGAATACTTAATCAATGAGGGTTGGAAAAAGCTTGTAAAATGCATAACTCTCGTAGCTAACAAAACAATCTTGTTTAAAAAGATTAAAAACACAATAGAAGAAAAATAAAAACAAATTATCTGGGATCTGAGATATAAATAGATCAAATAGCTCAAAAGTATAGGTAGAGGAAGAAAACATAATATTGATTTAAAAATTGAGTCTGAAGACCAACAACTAATAAATAATTTAATAAGACAAGCCAACCAATTTAATGAAACCCAAATTAAAGAGGTGGATAGTGTCTGGTCGGAATACTAGATAAAAGATCTAAAGAATTGGATTAAAATAATTGAGAAAAAGTTGATCATGGAACAAAAAACAGAACAGGAGAAAAAGATAAGAGATAATATAGAAAGAAGATATAGAATGGTTAGACATGAAGATAAAAAAATACTCAACAGTATTCTTGAACATCCCTAGAACAAAATAACAATAGAAAGACTGCTAGTTACTGCAAACAAAACAACAAGGAAAAAAGAGCTAGTTTACAAACCAGAAAAAGTACTAAAAGCAGTAAACAAACATTTCTCAGAACAATTCGAAAAGCCCTCTATAGCCCCAAAAATTGAGGATAACATGTGGCAGACAGAATATAAACCTTTCAACTATATCTGTCAAGAATGGTATAAGGGTGTCTTAGATGAAATTAAGGAAAAAGAATGGAAAGAAATGCTCCAAACTACCTCAAATAGCTTTGCCCCAGGGATATCTAATATTGAATATACAATTCTGAAAAAGCTTGGAAAAAAAGCAACAAAAATACTTCTCCAACTTTTAAACTTTATTATAGAAGAAGAAAAAATGCCAAAAAAATAAAAAATTGGCATGATCTTTCTAATCTCAAAACTGGCCAAATGGGACCTGCAATTAGAAAACATAAAACCTATTATGCTTCTCAAAGCAGCAAGAAAAAGTCTAGTTAGAATTATCCAAAGAAGGCTAAGCGACTGAATCATAGCATATTAAATCCTAAAAGAGCCAAACTTTGCAGGACTACAAGGAGAATATACTCAAGAACCCATCCACATTATGAATACTTTAATTGAATCTGCCAAACAAGAAAATAAAGAAATGCGAATAACACTTATAGATATTAAAAAAGTATTCGATATTGTTAACCTTAAAAGACTTCAACTAGCAATCAAAAGAATTAAGATTCTAGAGAAATTAGAAAAATTTTTGATCAACCTTTTTCAAAACAGAGAAATCAAAATATCTACTAAATTTGGACTAACAGAAGGTTTCATTGCAAAAAGAGAAATAGATCAAGGTAAAGTAATCTCCTTATGCTATAGAGAATATACTTTGACCCTCTATTATACAAACTTCTAAAATGCAAACAAGATACAAAAGCACAAATCGAATGGCCTTTAGAAATATATTGTAGTAAAACAAAAGAAGAGTTAATACAAGTAGCAGGACTAGCCTATGCAGATGATACAGCTCTTATGGCAAATTCGAAAGAAAAAATGCAAAATATAATCAGTATTGCAGAATCTTTCTTCAGCCTTAATAATATCGAGATTAATGGAAAAAAAACTGAACTTATAGTCATAAACCATTACAATAGGAAGAAAGAAAAAGCAATAACAATTAAAAAAGAGAAGAAAAAGATAACTGCAAAAAGGAAGAAAGAAATAGCATGATACCTAGAAGTCTGAATCTCCCCTAGTGATATAAGACAAATAACCAAAAAGAAACTTGGCCTCGAAATTAAACAGATTGCAAGCTTGCTACAAAAGAAAAAAATTTCAATAGAGCATGCAAGATATATAAACAATATGGTAATTTTTCCTAGAGCAGAATATAAACTTAACACAATCCTGCTTTCAAAAAAAAGAATGCGAAAAACTTCATCAACCAGTTCTAAAGATAGCAAAATGGAAAGCAGAACTTGCTTCAATAGTATCAAACTCTATTTCAATACAAGAAAATATATGGAAAATTAACTTACTATGGCAACATCATATAGAATACATGATCTCAGAATACAGGAATAGGTGTTTAGAATTAATACCCAAATCTAGTAGGTGATTTCACTAGAATGCGGCTTAAAGATGCCCAGCTATCACTAAGATCTACAACCTCTATCTGGCTCTTAAAAAAAGAAAAACTAAAATCACTTAAATAAAAAAACAATTTTAATACCAGTATTCTAATAGCAGCCAAAAAACTAAATATTAATATTAAAAGCTTCTGCCAAGAAGAAAACTAGGCTATAGCCCAAAGCAAAAATAATCTAAAAGAAATAAAAAAGCTACTTAACAAAAATGATCTGGAAAAAAGTGATATCTCTTTCAGAAATTTTAACCTGTAGTATCTTGAACAAATAACTTCTCAACAAGATAATACTTTATTTTTTTGGCAACAAATCTGTAGAATTAGAAGCCTTACAACTAAAGGATGTGTGCCAGTATGGTTCCAAAACCTAAAAAACACAGTACTCAAAGATAAGTCCTCTCAAAAATTAAAAGAGCCCTTCACACATGCAAGCACATTAAATACCAAACATATAAAACCCCAAAAAAACAATATATCACACAAGAAATTAAAAAAAAATAAATAATCAGAAACAAAGGTGAAGCAGGAACAGGTTTTTTTAGAAAAGAAACTTTCAAGTAAAAAAGTTCAAATAATCAGATGAAATAAGAAAAACAAAAAGAATGATTATAATAACAAGCTAAACTCAAAAATAGTCTCTATCACCAATACTATAAAAGTTAAAGTAAGCGAAATCGAAGATATAAGCATCTGGATTAAGAAAAAAAATAAAGTAGGTTGGAAAG